GTGTCACAGTCCCTGTCGACCGTGTGTGCTCCTCATCACGCGTGTCACAGTCCCTGTCGACCGTGTGTGCTCCCCATCATGCGTGTCACAGTCCCTGTCGACTGTGTGTGCTCCCTATCACGCGTGTCACAGTCCCTGTCGACCATGTGTGCTCATCACGTGTGTCTCAGTCACTGTCGACCATGTGTGCTCCCCATCACGCATGTCAGTCACGGTCGACCGTGTGTTTCCCTATCATGCGTGTCAAAGTCCCTGTTGACCGTGTGTTTCCCCATCACGTGTGTCACAGTCCGTGTCGACCGTGTGTCCTCGGGAGGCTGTGAAACATTGACATAAATTATGGAGGGTCTTATTTATGCCTATTTATATGTAAACGTCACCGAGAGGACTGTCATTGAAGGCAAAGGTCAAATATTTGTTTACCTGGGCATCCTGGGCACTGGCCGCTCTTCCGAGATCTCACTCCTGGAGGGCCCCGTCCTGCCCATGGCTGGCCCTGTGCTGAGGGTGCCCCTGCCCGCCCTTCTGCTCCACGTGGGGACCATGCAGTGGTCAAGCATCCTCAGCTGGCCTGGCCACGAAGGACTCATGCTCCCTGAGGTGATGTGTGGCGGGGTGGCGCTGTGTGAGTGCCCGTGCCCCACAGAGTAAAAATGCCCAGGTTTACTGCATCAAACTGGTGCTGGCACGAAACTTTACAATTAAAGTTTAGTCTAGAATTAAAGAGGTTTGGATGCGTGTGTGCGTGGGCCTTCAGTGTCGAGGGGAAACCGGGGATGGAGGTGGAGGGATGCACTGCTGGACGTGAGCTGCGGGTGCACCTTTTCGGTCCCTCTGCCTGTTTACAAGGACTGTCCTTGGCCCGCGTATGGACACTTAACTGTTTCTCACATGCTTTCTGCCCTGCCCACCCCTTATCTGCAAAAGGTTTGTTTTCTTTTGTGCATATGGCCATTTTTTAATATCAGTGATGTAAACACTCATGTTAATTAAAAGTATCTGACAAACAAATGAAAACATGTTGTTTACTATGTGATGATCCTTGAGTGGATCTTTCTGGTTCTGTTCAGCCATGTTATGTCATGGTCGTTTTGCAGAGGCGAAAAAGGATCACTGGGATGGGTTAAAGGGCACTGGGGTTCCAGAGCTGAGCACCCCTGCACCCTCTCCCCTGCTCCTGGAGCAGAAGACCCGAGTGGGACGTGCTCCGTGCCGATGAGGCCAGGTCCCGTGAGCTCATGGTGGGGCTGGGTGGCACACTGCAAAGTGAGGGGCTGCAGGGCGGTGGCCCCAGCGTGACTGAAATGGTGCTCTGGGTGGACGTGTCTGTCGGTGTGCTCCTGTGAGCCTGTGGCAAAAGAATGCTGGTCTCAGTGGCCACGGATGGCTTCCGACTCTGGAAGGTTGTCCTCATGGAAAATAGCTGGAGTGTGTGTTTTGTACCAGGAACCCGAAAGCGGTATTCTGCATCTTTATAGCAGTTAAATCTTTGTAAAGCATCATTTCCTCAGTTTCAGAGGTAGCACTAATGTATGTTTTTTTCATGTTACCAAACAATTTTATTGGAAGAATCATGTCAAAATTTGGCAGATAATTTATTTAAAGGCTTATAGGTGAAATTACAAACAAAATTTTGTTACCTATAAAATAAACATTTCTTAATGTGTTTTCATTTTCTAGACAAAGCTCTAATTGATCCCCCATTTCACTGTTCTGACGTGTTTCCGTTCGGAATGAGTTGGCTTTCCTCTACCTCCTGGGAACAGTTCTTGATACAGGTTCCCATTTCCTCCTGGGAACAGTTCTCGATACAGGTTCCCATTTCCTCCTGGGAACAGTTCTCGATACAGGTTCCCATTTCCTCCTGGGAACAGTTCTCGATACAGGTTCCCATTTCCTCAGCGTCAGATTTGTGTCTCAGCACCTGGCTGCAGGGGTGAGGGCAGGGTGCAGAAAGTAGAAAATATTCAGGGAATGGGACTCGTAGAAGCACGTACAAGGAAAAGAGGCATCACGCCTGTCTGTTTGAGGACCCAGGTAGACCTGTGTGATGGGCCTGACAAGCTAATCAACACTGACAGTGGCTAAATTCCTGTCTGGAGTCCCCCCGGCCAGGCTGGGTGCCCGGGTGGTCACTGGTTTGTAGAATGGGTGTCCGGCAGCACCTACCACCACGGGCGCAGACAGCGATTGAAGCAGCGCCTGAGACAAACTTTAAATCATGCCCGACACTTTAAGTGCTCAACAGAAGTGGTTTTTAGGGAAGATGACCCGATTCTTTTAAGGAGCTGTCGGAAGGTGCTGGTCCAGTCCGCTGCAGAGCGAGGGGGTGACATCTGTGCCTCACCAGCCCCTCCGCCGCCCCTCCGTGACCGCAAACGTCAAGTGGTCATATGCTAGCAGTCTCGATATCTGGGGCTGTTGCCCTCGTGAGGTCTACCATAGTTGGTGTCCAGGGCTTCTAGAAATCTCCATCTGCAGCAAGTGCACTAGGTCCCTCCTGGGATTGCACTGTAGCCAGAGCGAGGTGATTTGCAGGGCAGCAGTCGGTGGTGCTTGTTACAGAGGAAACATCCCCATTCTCTTTTGCGCCCTCTGCTTGTGGGGGTGTTTTGACAAGACCCTGCACCCTAAACTGTGCTTGTAGGCCCCGCACAACAGCGAGCCATCTTCTGCCTGGAGGCCCCACCCAGCGTGCCGTCCCCGGCCTGGAGGCCCCGCCC